AACGAACCTCATTCGAAACCCCTTTTAAAGTTATCCATTTGAAGTGTGGTAACATACTTCTTTAGGTTTACTCTTGTTTGTCATGGAAATGCAAAAGTCTTGGAACAGTCCATATTATTTAGTGACCGTATCTTTGTTTTCACAGAGGCCTTTAACGCAAGCTTAAATGCAGCCTCATTAAAAGAAGAATTCATTTGTTAGATTTAAGGAATCAACCCTGGTGACTGACAGCAGCAGCTCCACTAGTTTAAGAGAGTAAAATCTGCTGAGTGGAGATTTCCCAGGGCTGTAAATATGTGTGCTTGCAGGGGGGAGTCCCTTTGACTTCTTCTACAGCTTCCAAACCATCATTTCTTTTGTACTGACCCACCCTGCAGAAGACTGTCACACCATTCACTGTCTGCACTGCAAACATTTTGCAAACCAACAGCTTATCCTAGCAGACATTTTATTAATCTTTTTTTTTTCTCTAATACAGGCTACAGGATCTTGTAGTAAACTTTATTAACATGGTTCAACAATACTTTAAATAGCTGGCTACGTCTCATCCCAAGGTAATGTGAACCACATTGGGCATTCGTTTACATAATTCAAACAAGTTAAGAGATGTGAGCAGGAGATATTAATTTGTTATGGAATGAATATATTTCACATTAGGCTGTGAACGCACATTAGATAAACTTATTAGACTAAACATAATTCATTTCTAAACTTTTTAAAATGTAATGAAAAATATAAAAAATAAAAGTAGATAAGATAAAATTTCAGACTTAAAGAACAAAAACATACTTAATGAAATCACTACTTGATTGAAGGTCTTTACACACATGGCATTCTTTTGTAACATTAACACAGAAGCCAGACTTAATACCTGCTGCCTGAGAGCACAGTAGCTGAATGTAAAATGACTTCAGAAGACTATTCTTACTGGTACATCTGGTTTTGTCCCTCGCCCCTACACTGTGTCATTAACTACTGTGCAACTATGCAAGTTATCAATATGTCACTGCACCAATGGCGCCGCGACAAATTCCTGCACAGTACATTAACTGTACTTGGCGAACAGAAACCAGAGCGCCAGGATGGGGAATAAATTTCAGAGCTTTTGTTAAAGCGGACTGAGTTCTGTATATCCACCTCAGTGAGCTAACAACTGGAGGAACAGTCACAAAAACAGGATGGTTCAGGGCCAGCAGCTTCAATTGTGACTCTGCAGACATCAGTGCGTGTGTGTCTATGCGTGTGACGATACAATCATCTGGTTATGTGTGTGTGTGTTAAGCTGGAGGCTCCTGAGTGTGAAACAATAGGACATGAACACACACACGCACACGCAGGAAGTGAAGATTCCTGCATTCCTGGACCACGGCTGCCCAGCTGTGCCACACACACCCACAGAAGTCTGGCCAGAGGAAACCGTTGCCACATTTATCACTGTTAAGTACATCAGTCTTATATTGAATACATTTGAAGGGCGTGAATGCATGCACAGAAAGCTTTTTTTAATATGGCATCAATCATAGACTAGTGACGAAGGCCTTCATGTTTGTGGACGTGGAGCATCTAAGTCAAAGGAAGGCTAATTATCCTTGTTAAATCTGGAAAAGATTTCAGTGCAGTTTAAGGGGATTTGAATAGGAAACCCACAATATGGCCAAATGTTCTGCTTTATCATCTTTATTTATATTGATTACATGCCTCATATAACCATGTCAGCTTTGGGGTATTTGACAACTGTGTTGGTAAACAGGCATAAAGGAAGACTGGAAGCATTGCTTGCCACTTACGTAAATCCCAAAAATACCCAGATGGCCGGGCTGTTTCTAGAGCACACTCACTGCTACTGAAACTGGTTTGTCATTAATGAATCTCTGTCCCCACCGAAGGCCATTGCCTGCCTCTACTTCCTCATTTCCAAGCCACAAGCACTGTCACCTTGAGAAAACCAGCCAGTCCAACTCGCAAACTGACGGGTGGGTCCACTCCACCCGCATAAAATAACAAATTAATCCAGTGGAATGTTTAACATCAGTGATCAAGCAGGCTTTTTGTAGAAAACCGGGCTCGCCACTTCTCATTTCTCTTCTCCAGTAAGACTGGTAAACATAATGCTGTGCACGGCGTGCTCGTGGCATCACGTTACAGCAAAGATTAAATGAATCAAACTGTTGTCTTCATCTTGCAAGCCTCAAAAGTGAGAAGCAGCTTAATGCAGGTTTAAAAGTTGGAAATCTCTCAGTGCTGTCAGCCCCAATGCGAATGAGTAGTAGGGCGACTGCTTGCAATATCGACATATAGCTAATGATTTGTGCTTAGGAGTAGTGAATCAAATGTGAACATGTCTGGTGTGATTCACACCGGACTGTACGATTAGAAGTCACACTGTACGGTATTGTCGAGTATTTCAGGGATCATTCTGGGAGAAATCTCAATCTGGCTTAATTTGAAAAGAAAATTGGATGGTAAAATTGTGATTTACATTAGTATCAAACTAAATAAGTACCATGATCCATACAGTATGAAACACTGATGCATCAAACAGTCCTAAATCCTGTTCTTTCTTCTTTTCTTTTTTTTTTTTATAACCAGACTGCTTCAGGGGTGTTTGTAAAAGTAAACCCTGCCTCAGCCTGCCTGTTAGGGTGCTGCTAAATGATTTAAATACTGATATGGTATTTTATGTTATCATGATAACTGCCTCGTTTATTGACACAGTATTGGTAGCTTAAGCTCCCTCACAAGATACCAGTGTACTGTACCACACAAGCACCTTCTTTGAAGGATCGGAGCTGTGATCATGTGGTCAGGAGAGTCTCACTATCAGCCAATCGTCCTTTACAGACAAAGAGGCAAAGCGGCAATCAGAGGAGAAAACAAGCTAGCTAGAGTTTGCAATTTGTTTCCTGCTTAAACATTCCTATCCGAGCCACAGTTTCACACAGAGGTATAACCAAATATAGGCATCAATAGAGGTTTACCAAGTGCCCTGGTGCTCAGAAGCACATCCTTTAATCCAGAGGTTTCAAGTTTGATCGCCCAAGTGTCCTCAAGCAAAACCCGTTATTACTACAAACTAGGGTTTGTGACAGGTCTAGTATGATTGTAAGCAATGAGCTGATAGATCCTGTCAGACTTGTGTGTCGGCAACAAGGCAAGGCACTGTACCTAAATTAGAGACAAAATAGATTAGCTGTAGCAGGGAGGGAAACACTATGGGAAACATAAGAAAGGGAAGAAACAATGAGGGATGTCTGGGATTTTTGGAGCTTTACATTCAAAAAGAATGGAAATCTTTCACGTCTCTAGTCTTTAGGATACACTTATATTCCTGTAATTACCACAATGAGCATAGTAGGTTAACCAACCATCATCCAGTCCTATTGAAGTGTTTAATTAATCTCCAGTCTGCCAAAAGCCTTTCCCTCACACAGCGGTGAAATTAAATTCCTCTACAGTGTGACTGCAACACAAACAACTACTGGGCTAAGAGTGGATTTTTAACTTACATAACCTGACTGATATATTACAGAGAGCTGATGTGCAAATCAAGCGGGTAAGGCTAATATAACAATGTATCCAAAACCATCAAGAATTTATAAAAAAAACATCTTAATATTTCAGTAACATAGCTTGTTTTCAATAGTAATAATGTGGTGGTTCATACTTTATGGTATTTTGTTATCGGATATGGTGTGAATACAGTATTTTAGAGGGATTTTGCTTAAGTCTATAGGGCTCATCTATGAATTTACAGCAACCACATCCTGCATGGTGCAACTTCTTTATGTTGTGCAGCATTTAAACTGTTTTCTGTGATACTATAAATTTAGCCTAACCTGTGAGAGCCTTGCTTTGTTTCTACTAAACTGTGCTATATGATTATGACTGAAGTTGTTCAGTGTGGCATATAAGAAACATGGTGATACCCGAAGTGACTGTGGTGGAGTTTGGTTGTAACTTCCTTTCCTTTGGGATGCAGGCTGTGTGCTCCCAACACAGGCCCTTGGTAAAGTGTAGGACCGAAGCTAACAGCTATAACGTAACATAAATCAGACATAATAACACCTTTGTAACTGTAACGTCTCATGTTAAAAGTGAATAATACCAATAAGGGGTGTTGATATTGTAGTTGTTGTTGTAGCTTTCTCAGCTAAACTGGATTTGTAGCCAGGCAGCTGTCAGTCTCTGCCACGGCAAAACGGAGACAGTTTTAACACATTCAGGAAAAGCTGTGCAATATCACGATTGATGGTGAACCTACTAACTTGTCTCTGCTTCAATTTGTGTTCCCGTACAGGTGGCAAATCACTGCTTGTTGTCATTTTGTCACCGTGTTCCCATGAAACAGCTCAAAGCATTTAGCTTCGTGATGCTATCACGTTAACTGCGTCCGTTCTCGGACAGCTAGCGGCTAAACGTCCATTATCGGACACATCCAAATCCTTCTTCTTTATTATCATTATTATTTACACGATGATCACAGGCGTAAGCAAGCATGTCGCCGTTGCATACGCAAATGTGTAACGACTTACACTTGTACAGTACAAAGTGAATAATGATTTCTGCTCAACAGAATCAGATGTGCGTCCGAGCTCCGACTGGAGGCTTACAGTCAACATCAACGTTTGCTCATGGTTATTTATAATTTCTCGGCAACCGAGCACCGTAACTAGCCTAACTACTAGCAGAGACATTTTGCTACTAGCTAAATGGCATCTCTTTAACGTTAACCCGGATGTCCACAATGTCTGGCAGAAAGGCCAAAACAATAACACTCATAAACATCAGCAAACACCCCGTGTCCGACAATGGAATTGGGTGCATAAGAAGCAGAATAAATACTGCATCAGTAAACATCAACACGGGAAAAAACTTGTTTCAGAAACGAGCTCATGATGGTTACATCATTTGTTTTCTACTGCGATGGACTCCAAAGGAAAGCTATTTATGTCTACTCTGTGTCCGATAATGGACCTCCACTCCTCTCACTGCAGTTGTACCTTGTACACATCTCCGTATGTGCCGCTTCCTATCCGCTGGATCAGCTCGAAATCCTCCTGCGGATTCCGCCGGGACAGGTCGACACTGGAGTTCATCATTTCCACTGCCGATTACGGCGCCGATCGCGCACGATTGACGAGCCCCAACAATGTGTGAGAACAGATATTTTAAGAAAAACATACGGCGTCAGAAAATACCAGCCCGAGTCCGATGTAGCTCCAACATGGCTTCCACTGCGCATTGAGCATGCGCAATGGACATGATGGCGTACCCCTCACCGTGGAGTGACCAGGGAGTTGGAGCTCTTGAACTTAAGATTTAAGATTTAGATTAAGTGTGGTGATCAAACTACTTAAACTGAAATGTTAGTCACGTGTTCAATTTGTTTTTACAGGGAAAATTTTAACCACACACCTAATTTTAACCCAAACCTGTATTGATTTATCAATTCCAGCAGTATTGGATCAATACTTTTAAGGTGCATGTGAAGCCATGTTTTCTAATCTGCATTGTCAACACAAACACAGGAAGTTTACAGCTAAAGGGAAAATGAATGAAAACACTAAGCCCCATGTGGCCCTGTCTGACCCCTCAGTGTAGAACTGGGCTAAGCAGGGCTAAACAGTGGCAGATGGCAACTTTGTGATTCAGCCTATAGGATCTGTTACAGGCAGAACAAACCTCCCATAACAGAAAACTTTACAGTTGTCATTTTAGTCCACTAACAGCATATAGTTCATGATATTCCACATTTTTCTTCTGTCGGTTGACAAAAGACAAAACAAAGTAGGCTTACTGTCTGTGTTGCATATAACCTTTCTGCGTCATAAATAGACCTCACTGTTGTCTAAAATGTATGAAAATCACACCAATGAGCCAAACTGTTGCACTGGGTGACAATGTTGATATCACAAAGAGTACGGTCTAGACCTGCTCTACATGAAAAGTGCGATGTGATAGCTATGTTGTGAATTGGCGCCATATAAGTAACATTGAATTGAACGTTCCTTCTTTAGCATGAATATGCACTGTAGTTTATAGTTTAGATTTTACGTACACCATCTTGCTGGCTTTAATACTCACAAGAGAACCAAACATGTATTAATCAGAAGCTGAAAATGGCCACAAGCACACAAACACACAAACACACTACTCTTGTTTGACTTGCATTTCCTAACAATTATAGTGCCAAGCCGTTTCAGTAAGTTATTTTTATAAATTAAATTATTTATTTGTCATTTTTATTAAAGTTTGACATCTTTAGTCAGTGTAGAGTTTACAGTTTTGAGAACTTTGAAGAACACAATAACTCCCCAAGAATAACTTCAGCCTAATCGTTTAAATGCACAATCCAAGACCTACTCTACATGTCAGGCTCTTTTAAATTGCAGTTTTGATGATTTAAATGTGAATTAAATGTAAGACAGGAAGAAGGATTCACCTCTGGAATGGCAACATTCACACAACTCAAAATTCTTCAAAAATATGTATTTCTTCATATTATTTGCAGTTGAAAAACAGAAGGGAAACAAACACACACACACAAAAAGCAGTTTAACTTAAGTGTGGCATGTCAACATTACTTATTTTTTATGACGAGAAAAGTAACTAATTACTAGAAAATAATTAGTTTGAAATGTAACTCCCATCAACACCGATCAAGTGTCTATCTTGACGTATTTATGAATAAGTCCATCTATCATGCCTAAGCTGACTCTATGAGTTGCCAGGTGCTTCAGGGAGAAGAGACTGTATTGTAGCCCAGATTTAGAGCTTGTTTCCTGGGTAGGTGGGGATTTGACGCCCTGGTGTATTTGGAAAGTCTGCTGCTTTGTGGAAGACAGAGAAGGAGAGTCTTGTATCCCAGTTTGAGGCTTTGTTTCCTGGTTAAACGTTGGGCCAGTTTCTTTCTGTACCAGGAGTTTTTTCAGGAGACAGGATAACTGAGGACTCAGAAGGAGAACCAGGGTACCGCCAATCCGGAGGACTCTGGACACACAAACATGAATTAAATGAATTATAGTTATAACACTTTTAATAATAGAATAGAATAGATAATATTTGTTCATGCTCATTTTAAACAAAATAACAAATTAATAAGGACAGATTAAAAAGACTTAGTTTTACTTTAAAAATAACAAGACAAAATATAATTGTATACAGTTTAGGATGTATTCTGATCTATTCTGCAACTCGACTAGGAATTCTGCACAGTGCATGAACACACACACACACACACACACACACACACACACACACACACACACACACACACACACACTAGCAACATTTTCTGATTCACTGGACAACTCTAAAAGAAACAACTGAAACAGTCACACAGAGGCACAAACCTCTCCATCTCAGTGAGGATGAGTGGCAGGTTGGCAGCCATGTTGGTTTTGGTGCCAAACTTTCTTCCAAATGGCAGGTCACAGACTACAGCATCTATACTGGCGCTGGGCAGAGGCAGCGCTGCACACACAGAGGAGGACAGGTAAGCCAAGAGGTAATTTAATACATGACAGCAGGTTCCATACTCACCTCACACTCACTGATTCCTATCTAAAAGATGCAGCTTTGGATCCCCAGAGCTAAATAATAAATTATAATATTAAAGAGCTTTTGACCATTTACTTTGGTATACACACATTTAATAACTCCTACCCAGAAAATAATTTTACTGAGGCAGCTGCTGTCGTTCTCTCTGGAACATGAACATTAGCTTAATGCTAAAAATGTAAAAGCTTTAATTACATACATTTAACATTACTCCAGTGAACATTTTGTGCTGGCTTCTTACCCATAGATGAAGCTTTCAGTAGGTGTATTCTGTTTTCTAGCTCTGCAAACTCTACATTCTCATTGGCCTTCTGCAGCTGTCCATCATCAATATCCACACCCAGGAAACAGGCATCCTGAAGATCCCATTGAGAGTGATAGATCAGATTATAACAGTATACACAGTATTATTGATAAAAAGTACACACTATGCATTAAACTTCATACATATTTTTTAAAAACAAAACCACATTTTCATTGAGACCAGAGATGAATTGTCAAATGAAAATAAATACAACTGATTACATCATTAAAATCTGCAGTAACTATGACTAGGAAATATTACAATTAGACTGTATTAGTGCATTTCTGAACAATATTATTTGCATTAACACTGAATAAATGTGAAACAAACAGGTCAACAACTGTATAAAATGTTTAGGTGTGTGTAAAATGACGATTATTCAAATCTTTTATATGTTTTTAACAATTCTAAAACTTCTTCCCTAACCTAAAAAGTTCACTTTTCAGACCTTTCTACACTTGACAGATACACAGGTCCTGACCTTGTGTTCATGAGCTGCTTCTATTAAGATGGTCCCCACCCCACACATTGGGTCGACCACACAGAAGCCGGGCTGAGAAACAGGAGATAACATACAGTTGGTCAACTGCAGACAATGTGACTGTGACTGAAGGGCAATATTACATCACAGTCTTTCTGGTGAGCATGCAAATGCTTTAGCACACAGGCTGTGAAGTTAGAGACAACAAACATGATGCTAAACATTACAAAATGACAGCTTTAGTGAGACAGCTTTAAAGCTCCATGGTCACACTTCATGAGTCTAAACATGCCCTGGTTTTAGGGGATTAGTAAAACAAACAAAAACTCAGAATGGCAGAAGATCGCTCTGCAAGTTAGACCAAAAGAAGGCCCTTGCTTGCATTATTTAATAATGCCTTCTGATGTGCATACATAAACATAAGCGTACGCATAATAAAGTGGTTTCCTCATAAATAAAGCAGCAGCATTCACCGTGCACCTGTGTGTGTTTTAGGGCTGCACAATACTGGAAAAAACTGATACTGCAATATTTTTCACTTCTGCGATATATATTACGATATCAAAAAATACAGGAATTTTCACCAGATGACTTCAATGGCTCTATTTGAAAATAATTAAGCATCATAGAATTATTGGGATACACTAGAGGTCACTAGCAACAAACTCCATGTATCTAAGAAACCTTAAATCAGCGTAAATTATGTTACATCAGACAGACTACTCTTGTAGATTAGTCATGGAAAATGACTTTACGTGTTTTCCTTTTCTATCAAGCAGCAAAAAAGTTGAGGTGTTTGGGTAAAATTTACTTGCTTGACATTGCATGTCCTGTGATGTGACTATTACGCATCGGCACATTGCAATGATGGTGCTGTAACGATATATTGTGCAGCCCTACTGTGTTTGTACCTGTATCGGAGCCAATGAGGCCATGGCCCAGGCGACAGTAGACCTCAGTCCTGTGGTTTTAATGTAGCTCCGGTTAGCCAGAGGTAACCTGAAGGAAAGAGACAGAAGACCCATTACTTATGACTGCTAATCAAATTAATTACAGCTGCCATATGAAATGTCTAAATCCACTATGTTTCTGAGATTTGGATTTTATAATCATGTTTGGGATTATTTGGTGTGTGACCCTTCATTCTGGCCATCGAGTGAGGCTAGTGACCACACAGCACCAAGAAATCACAGAAACTACAACAATGGCACAAAGTAAACTTGCAGAAGAGAAAGCACATTCAAAAACACTGAGAATATCAGCATTGCATGTTGTTATTACAGACTGGCTGTGTTCAAAGTCAGCTTCTTTTAGGGACTTTGATGGACCAAAAAGACAGCATACATTCATTAGTAATAAATAATATTAATAAATGTAGAGAATATGTTTCTGTGAATAACCTGGTTAGTGGAATCCCCAGCAGGCAGTGGTCATCACTCAAATAAACATTCACCTGCAAAAAACAGTAAAAACCTAATGATGATACATTTGAAACGACAGGCAAGAGAGCATCTGCCAACAACATTATCTTAAAAGGGAGTTTTTACTTATAATATCACCTGTTATGCCCATAAAAACATACAACACATTACTTTTTAAATTGTCTGGGCATAAATCAATATAATCAGATAGATTTTTTGACACAGTGAAAAGGTTTACCTCCAGCTGTGGATTCTTTAGATCAACCTTCCAGCCCAGCAGTCTGCTCAGACCTACTCCAATCACTCTGCTCACCTCCTACATTAGATACAACAGGCAAACACACAATTTTCCTCTGAACATAATAGACAGTTATTTATGCAACTCACACCTCCAGTTAACATTGCTGTGCATATTAACAGATGGATGTACAGCTCATTACAGTCACAATCCGACAACGAATTGTTTCATGTCTTTTCTTACTTCTTAACCTACACACACTTGCCAGAGACAATGCTCTTCACACTGCTTTTTCAAGTGTATTTTAACTTCAACTACCTGTGTGCTGAAGTATCGGGACAGAGATCCAGTACACTTGCAGCTAATCCTAAAAGAGACGGGGACCAGAGAAGGCTCTGGTCTGATCCTGCTGGGTTGCAGTAGTGTCCTATCTCTTTCTCCTGTAGTCTTCACTTTATTACATGGAGAAGATAGAAGGAAATAAAGAAACAGAAATGTTAACCTTAAAAGTTGATGTTATACAAGATGAAATAAAACCAGAAGGTATGATGATCTTATTACCATTTTCCACATTTTCTACAGCGAAGTCCTTTGGCAAGTCATCCATCCTCCTGTTTCTGCTAATTTCCACAGTGTGGTCTTGTCCTGTTGCTGCGTGATCTCCGCCACTGAAATCTGTTCCTGATATTGCTCCATGTTTACCCCTTTTTCTACAGCTGCTAAACTCCATAACCGCTTCCCTCTCCTCTTCTCCCTCTCTCCTCCTTTCTCTCTCAGATGTTTTCTCATCCTCTTCATTAATCTCACTACTAGAGTCAAAAGCTGCAACCTCCCTTCCCTCCGCTTCTTCATCATCCCTCTTTCTCTTTTTCACCGGTGTCGGGGCTCCATTTTGTTCGCCACTTCTCTGTCTCCCGTTCCCACTCTCCTCCTCCCTCTGCTCTTCTGTACTTTTTCTAGTCTCCACATCACACTTCTCCTCCTCTTCCCCCTGCTGTTCACTCCTCCTCCCCTCCTCCCTCTTCCACCTTCCTCCCAGGGCAGTGCTTGGTGTGTTGACAGTAGTTCTTCTGTCCGCCAGCTCCCCCTGCAGGCGGCTCCATGTCATTACAGCACTGGTCCATTCATTCTTGTCACCCAACAGTCTGGACTGCAGCACAGAGGCTGCCTTTGCTATGAAGATTACACAGAACACAACACAGAGGTCAATACAAAAATGATAATTAATGTGGCACGTGGTTTGGGCATACTTTTTAATATGTGCCATATATTGGTACCTGGGCTGGTGTGGACAGAGAGCCGCACAGGCGAGTCTCTCTTCAACAGGAGGAAGAGTCTCTCTGCAGCCTTTAGCTGCAGAGAGACTTTGTTGATCGCCGCAGAGGAGCTGAATAACACTTTACCTGGCACCTGACAAACCTGGACACACAAAACAACAAAAGCAGTAGGCTAGTGTTTCATCATGCAGCCAAATTTAACGACATTTGAACAGCCTCGGCTGCATGTATCTTGTTGAAGGATCCTTAAAGTACACACTAAAATCTGATCTTAAGATTACGAATACTGGATTGTTGAGATGGACACTGATAGTTATTTTTGTCTGTGAAAAATAAACCAGCTGTTAAGATATTGCTGTAGTGTTTTATAGCACTCACCTGAAACAAAAATCACCTCCACTGACCACCAGAGTTGCTATTTCACATAACATATCCAATACATTTAAGTGTGGCTAATGTTAAAGCCATCAGCTAGGAACACAAAAGTGATCAGGAAACGAGATGCATCTGGATCGGACCGTTAACCAACTCAGCTGAACAATTTACTTGGGGAGACTAGGGAATAACATACATACACACACATTATATATATATATATATATATATATATATATATATATATATATATATATATATATATATATATAATATTAATCCCCTCTAACCCCTTGAAGGGTGGTATGTGTCATCCTCAAGCTCGGGCCCTCTACCAGAGGCCTGGGAGTTGGAGGGTTCTGCGCAGTATCTTAGCTGTTCCTAAGATTGCACTCTTCTGGACAGAGACCTCTGATGTTTTACCTGGAATCTGCATATATATATATACATACATACACACACACACACACACACACACACACACACACACACACTAAAGTATACAATAGTAGTATAAGTAAGACACCTTATCGTATCGTAATTATGATAATGATAATTATGAATTATTTTATAATAATTACGAGATAATGTGTCAGATGAGATCAGGATCTCGTAATTATGAGAAAGGTTAAAGAAGCATAGTTAGTCATCGCTGACCTACACTACAGCTAAAGTGGACAACGACTGCGCTATTGGATTTTACCTGCTTTTATTTTGTTCTTTGTATGAGACAATATAAAGTACTGATTACTGGTTACTTAATGTGGATTACACGAATATTAGTATGAACACAATGTAATCAACAGGTGTGGTAGAAGTGATACACGAGTTTTCAAAAAAAATTCTAATATTTTCACTGAATTTTCTCTGAATTCATATTGATGTTAAAGAAAACCTGCTGTTTCCACTGAGTTATGTCACTTCACAGTGACGGCAGACCACCTCAAAGTGTTGTTTTTTTTTTTCTTTGGCGAATCAATACGCTTCCGTAGAAAATGACCTTAAGACGTGGATGCATATGCATATGTAATTCGGCAGAACAAAAATTGTAGGCTACCTGCGAGATTTGCATCCCCCTCTTTTCTCAGCATAAGTGCTACCTCCCGTGAGGTGCACGCAATTGGAAACATTTAAAGAACAGCCATCAAACTCCCAAGAAGAAGAAAGTGCACGCAGAACTCGACGCAGCACCGGTGAAATGCCGGTAACCGGTTGAAAACAGGTAACGTACAAAACAAAGGGCGTATGCCAAGGTTAATGTCCACCTTCTATATCAAATAGACTCATTTATGGCGAACAGATTCCTGAACACCCCTTGGGACCGTTGGTTTGTCTTTTCACTGACAAGAAACACTCACATCTTCAGCTGCCAGCTTCCTCTGCACCTCTTCAATTAAGAAAGGCTCCATCCCGTTTCCGGCGGTGCAGTAGTAGCGCACTAAACTTCTAGGTTCAGTCATTATGTTGTACACCGTGTTCACTACTATCAACAAACTCTCAGTTCTGCTAGTGGAAGTTTGGCATGTCTCCTATTTGACTGTGAACGTCGCCATATTGGCATCTTTGTTTACACCGGAAACGGAAACAAGTCATCAGACTGCAGTGACTAGCTTTGGCCAGCAAGGGTCTCTCTCACACATTTGAAAAGGTCACTGATGTAACAAATTGGAAACGTGGATTTACAAACAGAAACTATCTGCATATCGATTGGAACATATATCACAGTATGAATGCCAATGGTGCTCAGACTTGTTTATATAAATGTTCTTGTAAAAATGGCACGTTAATGTGATATACAACAGCGCAAAGGCCACAACAAACCTTCATTCTGTGATTAGTTTTAATGGGCTGCATGGATTGAAGTGGGAGCTCTTATCAGCACACGTACACACGCATACACTCACTTAATACCCAAATGCCTCAGTGCACACATTAGGCATTCAGACACACACACTTTCAACAAGACAACAACAAACTACAAATGTTCAGGTCCACCACATATACACATTTAATACACATCGGAGAGACACAACACACATACACCTATGCTGCAGTGTATTACCTGAAGGCAGCTCTGAACAGGTGTCCAAAGCTGAGAGGAGACTTCTAATAGACCCTGGAGCGGAAGTGCTTTCGAACAAAACTCACTCACTCGCTACTTGTTGGGAAGATCTTTCTCCTATCTGTGTGTCAACACTCTCAAAATCCCTTTCTTATCTCTGCCTTTCCTAATGCCCTGTCACACTAACACTTTTAATCTCCATCTTTTTTCTCTCTGACATTTTAATGACCTCAAATGTAGTGTATTTCCTTACTTTATTGTATAAACATTGTGCTGCTTGTTGCCTTGTGCAATGAACCCGTCAAATACCAACAGGCTGGTGCAACCTGCCTCAGTGTAGGGTATTCCCCTAACAATGTGAGGCATTATTGTAGCTTAAGTGAATATCTTTACGCAGAGAACAAGGATATTACTTTAGATTGATGTAATATTGCCCACAATGGAATTTGAATGGGATTTGATTCCCACTGATTTAGTGCGAATGCTAGTCCAGATATGATAGCCCATCTTCTTCACTTGACCACCAGTGGTGCCAGATCACAACAGAAGTCATTTCACTTCTGGGATATTCAATGGTTTAAAAAGAGGAGACTCCAGATACTCTAGCTGCTCTGAGGATTTGGGTACAGCAAAGCTTTGAGCTAAATCCCAACATCAGAATGTTACCATGCTCACAACGACAATTCTAACACACTGATGTTTAGCAAGTATATGTATATATATGCCACGTATAGTATATGTCTGCCATGGTCACCATCTTCGTTTGGTGTGTCAATAGAATCTCCACTTTGACAGAGGAGTCATGATCCGTCATGTCAAGTTTACCGTTTCTCTATTTTACAAATGCCTTCCATCACCCATTTGGCAAATAATGTAATTTACAAGGAAAACTGAGTATTTTAGTCTTTGCAATATCAAATAGCTTTCATAAAAATTCAACTTTAACTTCTCTGCTGTCAAAAATACTAGACACATTGTGTGTCACATAATTACCATCCAGCGTCTCCCAGTAAACTTTATTGGGCTGCGAGAAGAATGATGATTACATTATTTTTTAGTTGGATTTATGGGGCTTTCACCCAACAAGACAAAATTCCCCCTTTTGTCACTCTTGTCCTCTTTAAAGTTTAGTGACTATTTTCCTCAGCCCATAATATTGGACTTATCCATGTAGAAAGGAGACATTAATACTCCTTTCAACAGCTGCCATTTGCAATAATTAGCCCCACTGCTGCTAAGTGAACACAACAGCTCCACAAAATGGATGCCGCCTGGCATACCAGCTATGGCATGATGTATTACTGTACATTAAACTTGTTTTTATTCTCCTCCACACCCCATAAATGATCGGAGGGAGGGAGGGGATAATATGGAGGATGGCAGAGAAGAAAAGAGAAGAGGAGAAATGATGACGAGGGGGGGGAAAGAAATGGAGGGAACAGGATAAATACATCAATAGTGGGCAAAGAGGAGGGCAAAGAAAACAGTATCTTGTTTTACAACTTCATCATGTTGGAATAATCAGTGCAGCCCTGGCCACAAAGCTCAAAGATGATGAGTTTTGAAAGGGGCAATCATGTAAATTGTGTTGGTAAAATATGGAGGATAAAGAGCAGATTTAAAGTTCTACATAAATAATGATCCACACGAGCAGAATAACAAGCACACAGTTGACTTTAACTTGACACAATTCCATTTGTAGAAAGAAAGAAATGAAGTGGTGCTTAAGTTATTACATTTAACATATAACATTTTTGGGAGCTTGGCATCTCTATAGCCAGAAATGTATTATGTATATATTTGTATGAGTTACAACACAAGGGAGCTGAGCATCCCAGTGGCCTACAGTCTTCACATATTTCTTTTCACTCCTATTTTATTTAAATTTTTGTCACAGCTAACTTGTGAATGTTAATGGAGAAGACTTTTGGTCACACAATTAAAAAAATAACAACAATGTCCAGGACAATGTCCCACTGATCCATAAATATATCACAACAGTTCCAAACCTAAATGACTAAATGGGGTCAGTGGATTTCAGCAACAAGGATTTCTGACATAGACACATGGACACAGACATACAGTAACTTTTTTTGTCTTTGATTGGGCTAGGTTGCTTATCTACACAATGAATGACACTTAAATTTCATAGGTCCACACTGTGAATATTTTTTTTCTAACTGAAAATGACTTGAGTTCCACTATCTTGTAAAATTACACATTCTGTGTATGATGATTAATATTTGGTGAGGTTCAAGAGGGCTGTCATTTAAAAGGCCAGACTGTGTGTGTGTGTGTGTGTGTGTGTGTGTGTGTGTGTGTGTGTAAGGTAGGTTGAGTCATCTGTCACTCTCCTCCAAGCCATCTCTTCTGTCAACATCTCCTTTACTTTATCTTTTATTCCTTTTTTTTATTCCTGACCTTTGTCCTTCCCTTCTCTCTCTTCTCTCTGCACCTCTTTCCTGCCCTCCTCTCTACTCTATTTTCTTTCATCCTCACTTCACTCTCAGATGGAAATGAGACCTTTACAAAGAGACAAAGCGGAAAAATCTGAGCGAAAGCCGTACTGAGTTTTCACCACTTAACCATGTATATGTGCAGCCATGTCCATTTCTGAGTGCTGATGTATGTGTGTGTATGTGTTTGAAGCTAAAGTTTTAAGTGATTTAAATATTTACTGCTCTCAGAGGAATGTGTGTGTCGACAGGGCCAAGCATCCGTAGAGAGAGAAAGAGAGGGAGAGTGAGAGAGACCCACCAGTGGCAGAGCTCAACACAGCATCAAACTGACAAAGCCTATCAAAATCAACAATAACGGAAGAAAAGGGGGGAGAGCAGGAGGATGGAAAGCAGACTGGAGGGACAGAAAAATGTATGGAAAGAAGGGAGAGGAGATGAAATATGAAAAAGTAATGTGTGTTTGTATGTGGTTTGTTTTGTGCATGCTGTGTGAATATTAAGTTCGCTGTTTTAAATGTTTTAACCATCAACATATGATTGTCAAATTCACTGTGACACCTTGGTATACTTACTGTAAAGTCCAATATCATTGTAAAAATGGGAGGAGAGCAGTATGTAGGTTAGCAACGCCCTCCGTTTGCCACCACCCTGACGTGACCTTCTTTGAGTACTTTGTTTGAATAAATGATATGAGAGCGCTGAGACTGAACCAAAACATTGAAGATGCAGACAGTAAAAACCAACACAATGAGCTGAAAGATGCTAAAACGCTCCGAAGATTTTAGAGGAACTGAAATATTGGGTGATAATTCTCTGTGGATGTGTCACAATGAGCTTCCCCTTTCACATTACACATAGTCATTTAATTCACTGTTAATTCAGATTCAGATTCAGATTCATTCTTTATTGTCCTCAGTGGAGGAAATTTGTTTTCACAGTCTGTACAAAGAGCACCTTCATTATAAAAACTACTCTCTATAATGAAATGAAATTACCATTATACGTTAATATATATCATGAGAGAGACTTTTTCTTTTACCTTCTGTTGTACCTAAATTATCGAACAGAATAGTGCTGGACGTGGCTTCCACTCAAAGTCAGCACACAACATGGCATATACTGCTTCTGCAAAATTAAATTGTAATTGTAATTGTTTTAAATCCTTTTAAAACACTGATTGTGAAAAACAAGTTCCAGGATAAGGAGGGAGGTCTGGCAGGTTTAATCTAAATGATTAATAGGCCAGACATCCACATTAACCTGAGCTACAGTCCATTACACAGTGTGGGGCATTTCATTACAGCTACGGCTGTGATACACACAAAACCCTGAAGCCTCACAGTGCACAAGCCTTTGTCCCAGTTAGCAAAGAACATCTCTCACACCACATAAAATCCCAAATCCCCATTGCACCACATTTTATCAAGTAAAAAAAAAGTCAACATCGCACCACCACCAAGGCCGCTGTTCCATTTAGCTAAATAAAAAAAGCTGAAAGCCCTTGGCCTATTTTGTCAATGTTTAACACAGCCATAAAGAGTTTGTAGCTATTACTTTCATTCCCAAGGACCGCTGGCTTCTTCCAGGGAGTCCCCCAGCACAAGGAGGATTAGTTTAATTTCTGTATCATGCATTCACTTAAGAAAGAGTGCAAAACAGCTATTCTCAAAGGCAACTAAAACCTTCTCAGATAGAGATTACAATCAGACATACAGACATTATTATAAGACCAAACCCTAACAGGCTGTCGTTCTTGGCCTTAAAGACATGACAAACCCCCACCCTGCAGTTGCATTTCCTGGAGACTGCAGCTAGGGGGAGGTCTAGGTTTACTGCTAAGCTACATGCTGCTGCTGTGTTGTCTTGGTTAATCTCTTCACTGCAGGTGGGGCACAGAGGAGGAAGAGGGGAGGTGACGAGGCAAGAAAGAGGCCGGCTGGCCAAAAAAACAACTCTGCATTGACAGAGAGATTAAATGTAACTGAAATGCAGCTGGAATGTTGGTGTGAAATGCTAAGGGTGCTATTTTGGAGGTATTTAGGAAAATGTTACG